CCATCTCGCGCCCCGCATGTGGCGATAGTCGTCTTTTTTTACCGTCCTTCCGGGACTGGTCTCCCAACCCAAAGTCTTCGAATCCGTTTAGTATAATAGTGTACTTAAGGTAGTAGGCAATGCCTTTGATGACCCTATTAAAAACGATACATATAATATTAATGCCAAATGCACACCCTACTAAAATATTTCCAGTAACATATTTTTACGTAAACGTTTTCACGGTGTGGAACTGGAAAGGGTGCGGCAGGCGGTCCTCTCCATGTACACACGAAATTCTAAGTGCAATTATATACAATCAGCAGAAAGTACAGTCATTTGCGTAGTTTTTGGGAGAACATTTCATTGAACGCGTTGCAGATAGCCTTGTAGTAAGAGTCGTCGTTTATCAGAGATCAAACGATCCAGCTGCCCTTTTGAATATAACCATTGCATCAGATGTCACTATTTCACTTGGGAATGAGTTCCAGGGTCGAAAGCGGTCGCCCTGACCATTGCATCTCTTACTTTATATTTTCTCTCCTCCTAGGTCCTAATTGCCCGCGGGCTGAAGGCCAATGAATGGGTCGCCACCGTGTCGAAAAAAATCGGTGGCAAGGGTGGTGGGAAGGAGGCGTCCGCGCAGGCCACTGGGTCCGCTGCCGCCTGCCGCATCGAGGAGGTGGTCCAATTGGCCAAGTCCTTTGCCAGTTCCAAACTGACAGATCTCGCCCAGTGAGCCGCGGCACACTACACTGCATCCTGTCGGTGCCAGTTTCTGCGCCTGCCCGTTGTTATGTTCCCCTACCTCCATCCCAGCCCCCTCTTATACCCCTCCTCGCCCCCCCCCCCTCTTCTTTACAATAGAGCGTTGCCGTGTTTCGATTGGGAGCATATCTTCTAAACAGGGATGGGTAGCTGATAGAAGCGAACAGGCGAGTTCTAGGTAGCGGTTGAGAAAACGAAGATGCGATCACTGGAACAAGAAATGTATTGGCCTGATGTTTCGGATTCTCACTCGAACCCATCATTAGAGACAGTCGCAGATAAGGGTAATGGTGACTCAAGGAGTGCAGTATTTATAGCACGTGGCTTCCGTGGGACCATATGCGCACTTTAATTAACAGCTCTCGCTATCACCGCTGGGATCATAATTGATGCGCTGGTGGCCTGTCAGTCCGAGTCCGAGTCATTAGTGGCCGCGATTTCGTCATCCGTGTTGGATGCCGGTGTGACGATTGCTCGGCAAAGTGGTTCATTGTCACTGGGATAATCGCTCACCCGCACCCTCCCACGTGACTGATTCCTCTGTCGAGGGCAAATCTTAGCACGGAATGTAGTACTGTGAGGTCACTGTGCGTGCTGACGTATTGCAGACCTGAAAAACATGACTCTAGCAGCTCGCGGCTCACGCGGTTGTCACCCCTTTTGAGGATTTCGGTCTCTTGAAATTTGAAAGTATGACCGGGTTCCGCCAAATGAGTCGCCACCTGAGAGCTAACGTCTCCCAGCCCCACTGCTGCTGCGTGCTCGGCAATTCGCGTACGGAGTCATCTCCCAGTTTTTCCAACATAGTTGCTTCGTCCGCAACTGCACCAGATCCCGTTAACGACTTCAGACGTTCCCTGCCGTGGCAGTCGGTCCTTGGGCCTCGTGACTTGGCGCCTAATGGTTGCTTCCGGCCTGTATGCAACCCAAACTCCAAGTGGGGTGAAAAGACGACTGACGGCCTCCGAGACGTCCTTTACGTACGGAAGAGCCCGCCAAAATTAGGGGCCGGTTGGATTTGATCTCTGGTGTCGTTTTCGTATGCACTGGTCAACGAATTTGCCTGGGTAGCCATTGGCTCTCAGTACCCGTCGAAGATATTGTAATTCAGCAACCTTCCATTTCACTGCAGTGCGTTTCAACACGCCGTGATGGGTCGGCAGCATAACGAGGTGTGGCAGTGGTATTTTCAGCTGTCAGTTTGATCCAGTTTTCACTTCCTCCATCATGGGTGACATTGTAGCATCAGGCCTTTCCAATGGGGTTGAGCAGTTTTTTGTCCGTGTTGGTGGTCAGGCGGAAGTTGGCGCACCCGGCAGCGAGGGGGCCCATGCTCCTTTGCATGTCCTCTTCGGTCGTGGCGTCGAGTGCGCTGTCGTCGGCGAAGAGCAAGTCGTGAACGGTGGTTCTGGATAGTTGTTTGGGGGCCTCCATGCGTCTGCCGTTGTGAAGATGTCTGTCAGTTCAGTAGACGATGCGTATTCCGGGACGCTAATCACGATAGGCGCCCATCAGGATGATAGAGAACATGAGAGTGAGGAGGATAGGCGCGAGGACGCAGTCCTGCTTAATTCCATTGGTCACTGCGGATGCCTCGGAGGTTGCGCCGTTGTCCGTGATGCGCGTCATCATCCCGTCGTGGAGGTGACGTACCACGTTCATGAATCGCTCAGAACAGCCGAGTTTCTGCATGATTTTCCACAGACCCTCGGGACTCACCGTCTCGAAAGCTTTCGTCAAGTCCACGAAGGTGGTGTCGAGGTGGGACCGCATCTCCTAGCACTTCTCCTGTAGCTGGCGAGCGGCAAACACCATGACAGTGGTGCTCCGGTGTCGTCGGAAGCCACGTTGGCCTTTCGGCGGGAGTCCTTGCTCTAGGTGGCCGTTGAGACGATTGAGAAGGATGTGGGCAAAGATCTTCCTGGTGATGCTGAGTTGTGAGGTGCCCCCGTGATTGTCACTGACTTGCCGGCTGTCTTTGCACATGTAGAGGCGAACAGTGGTTGGCTTAAATGAGGTCTTGCCATCGTAGTTATTGCTCCACCGCGCTGTTGAAGTCGGTCTGCATGGTTAGCATCTTAGAAAACTTGTTCTGACCACTGAAACGTGAAAACGAATATGTAATATACTAATACCCGAAACGTATGACCCAAAGTTCCAGTATGTCCAGAAACCCCAACGACGAGAGGAGAAGGGGAAAACGTTCCATCACCCACGCGCGTCTGTAGGAGTACATTAACGTGGAAGATGCTCGGGAAATTTTCACAACCGCCATGGGCCCAAGTCATATCGAGACTTCCTGTGATAGTTAAAATGCACTCCACCTAGTGCACTTCGTTTAGCTTTCTGAACTGCCCCGTGGTTGTGAATTTCCGGAAAAAGAATGCCGTCATCGAAACTGAGTCTCGTTTTCACTGTAATCCATTGTTTACTTCGTTCATTTATCGGGTAGTCCACATTGCTGGTGTTCACAGGCGTATTAACTCTCGCCTTTTCGAACTCAACGCGATCCAACTCCACGTGTTGACGAATCGCGAGCTGCCTCTAAAGACAGCTCAAGTTCGCGATTAGGCAAGAAGTCTAGGAACTTAATCACGGTTTGATATGTAATTAATTCCTCTTTTCCCTCTGACGGCATCCTGCCTCCTGTAAAGTCTGCAGTTTTAAAGGACACTGTAGTGGTAATCCTACGCCCCATAATACAGATGGCCTCGCGCTAAATTTCAGGAATATTAGGGGGTTCCAATTCCCATGTCTTATCCACAGTTCTTCCAAACCAGGCCGGTTTGCGCGCCCTTAAGGTCAATGGCCTTACAAACTACTTTCCGTTGGTCAACATTGTAAATGATGTTGACCGAGTACATGGAAAGCTGCTGAACCATGTTTACGCATTGTTCAAACTTTGGAAGTATTTTACTGATGCCGATTTATTAATTCCGATGTTGCCCTCGACTTCAGCGACATTTTTGGGCTGCCAGGTTTAACAGTTAACTGGGCCACGCTAATCGATAGATCGATTTTCCAAACTGTTTTACACTGTATCAGGGCTGCGACCGAAAGCTGCGCATTAATCGCAAATAGACTAGCTTTCGCATACGAATTTATCGCCACTGCTTAGCTAGGTCGTTTCTAGCGCCGTAAAACGTTGGCTGTGAGGCTCAGAAAGAAGGCCCGCACGCTACGATTAGGAGTATAGAGTAATTGGGTAGAATGGTATTACCGACAAAGACCAGGGAGACTGAAATGGCCACTTCTGACTTATTAGACATCGTCAGTCAATCATACCCAACTCCTAAGTGTAGAACACTTGGGGCTCGATTCCGCGACATGTTAGGTAGAAGTCCAACGCCTCTAATCACTGAGCCATAAGCTCGTTGTCCTGTCATTTGCGATCGGGAATATACATAGAGTAATTCTGATAGGTTAATGCTAGCAAACGTAAAAGATCCCGTTACACGACCGTTACAACCCGCCAGGGTAATCATTATCCATCGACACCATGGGTCTAGTCTCTGAGTTGCCAATTTGTGCTCTTGTAGGTGGGTCAGCAATTTCCGTCCGGTTTCCCCAATGTAGTTGCAGTCACCATCGTTGCAACGTATTTGAAGGAAAAATGCTGAGGTTTCAATGGGTGGCGGTATATCTTTGGGTTGCATCAAACGACGACTAATGGTTGCCTGGTGTCGATGGATAATGCTTACCCTGGCGGGTTGTAACAATCGTGAAACCGTCTCGGAGACACCTTTGATATAAGAAATAACCCTCCAGACGTTGGATGTTTCTTCTTGTGGCCGTTGTCTGTTCACTCGTCGCTTGCTTTATTGATAATGTAGCTTGGGTATCCATTGGCTCGAAAGAGGTCATGAAGATACTGTCCTTCAACTCTTTTGTCATCTGGTGTACTGCAGGGTGTTTCAACTCTTTGAAATAGAGTATGGACACAGCTGCGTTTATGAGAGAGGGGGTGATTGTTTTTAAAGTGTATTATTCGGCTTGTGTTGAGAGCTTTTTTGAAAACGGTAGATTGTAATTTCCCAGTTGAACACCGACGCAAAAGAACACGGAGGAAGGAATGTTTGTCGTTTGTTTCTGCTTCCATCGTGAATTGGATAATCGGGTCAGCCGAGTTCAGTAATTCTTTAAGGTGCTCCACGTCAGATTATTTGACAATGGCGAAAGTGTCATCGACGTAACGATCCCGGAACTTTGATTGATACTCGGTGAACACCAAGTGCTCTATCCGTTGAAGGACCACTTCAACAATCAGCCCTGATATGGGGGAGCCCATAGGGGTGCCTTTGATTTGTTCATGCATTTGTCCACCAAAGGTGAAATATGTTTTAAGGCAATGCCGTAGGAGCTCCATGAGATGTTCAGTCTTCAGGGCATTGTCTCTCTCGTTGTAGCGATCAGCCAGGATTTGTCTCCCAACGTCAATCGCTAGTTGTTGTGGAATGGAGGTGAAGAGTGAAACGACATCAAAAGATACCATGGATTCATCTGACTCTAGTTTCAGACGATTTAAACGTTCAAGGAACTGATTAGCAGAAACCACCGTTGTTGGCGAGCCTTCCGCCAGGAACTTAAGACTAGCAAACATCCATTTGGCCAAACTGTATTTAGAAGTTCGCTTTATGTACCTTCGGCAAACCGTAAAACTGCGCGACGACAGAGTCAAAGCGTTCCATAAGAAACCAGCCTCTATCTGTGATTGCCTCATATGCTATGAGCTTTGTCAGGCTTTTATTTATTTAAGGAAGCAGATTTTTCATCTCACCAGCTGAACAAAGTTTATAGGACTGTGGATCGTCGAGAAGGCTCAAAGCTTTCTTCTGGTAATCAGATTTGTCAAGCACTACTGTGGAACGACCTTTGTCAGCCGGCAGGGTGATTATGTCTTTATCTGCTTTAAGGCTTTTAGCGCCTGCTGTTCTTCTTTGCTGAGAGTTTCGGTCTTTGTACATCGCATCAGCAAAGAGGAGGTTTTGTGGCGGATCAACTCTTCCGTCTAATCTGACGTTTGTTTTAGTTGAAGAGCAGATTCAAAAGCGGCAATGAACCCTGGGGGTGCAGCATCTGCTGTGTTGAAAGTGGCTCCACGTCCCAGGACTGCAAGTTGTGTTCTGGTGAAGGATTTAGAAGAAAGGTTGTAGGCAAGGTCTCTCGACGAGTGATCTGAGCGAGCTGGTCTCGGTTAAGCCAATTTAACAAATCATTCTTTGTCCTTTTTGGCACGTACCTTTCGAGCATGATTGAGAATGGTTTCCTCGATGTCCTTCGAACTGTCACCAGTAGTTGCCTCGAAAAATGACATGGATTGAGCAATTTCTAGTCTGTAACGTTGCGGTCTTTGATGGCAATCATGTATAAGTACTCCGGTCATTCTTCTGCCATGTCGCGTCAAAGTCACCCTTGCCAAGGTTGAATTCGCAGGCGGCTTATAGGTGAATAATGCATTTTGACGCAACTGTGAGAAACCCCGCACCCAAATGAGAAAAAACTAGATGAGTCGGTGGCATTCAAATTCACGACAGCAAGGTGAAGGCTTTAGTACCGCCAACGCTGTAACCACCTGAGTTACGAGGCCCCGCCGGACGACGCGAGTTTAATCACATTTAGGTCAAGTTACCCGCCCAACCTACTGCAACGTCTGGAATCCACCAAATCTGATACAGTAGGCTGACTGCCCAAGCAGGATCTCCTAAGTAATCCATTTAGAATCCACCAAATGACTACCAGGCTCGCGTGATTAATAGTTGTTTTTGCTTCAGAGCTCAGGTGGCTAGAGCGTTGGCTACACTAAAGCCTCCCCTTGCCGTCTTGGGTTCGAATCCCACTGAGGCGCTGAGTTTTTTCACAGTTGGTTCATTATGAAAGAAGAGAGACAAGAATGGCCATTTCCAGCCTATTAGCCGTCGTCAGCCAGTTATATCCAATCCCGAGGTGTGTAACACCTGGGGATCGATCCAACGCCCCTAGCCACTGAGCCACGCAGTCGTTGCCCGATCGGCTGCGATCGGGATTATAGAAAAGAAGAGGGGCACTCGCCGATCGTTTTATGGAACTCGCGCGCCCAGTTTCTTTGTTTACCTGGCTGACGAACCGTCCAAACACGAAGAGTTGAGTAACTTCTTGGTTGTTATTTGTGCACTCTTATTTGTCAACCGCAGTTCCTTAAACGGGCCACGAGACTGATATGCTGGACCAACACAGAGGCTAGATCGGAATCCCCAGGTTTTATCGGGAGTGTGCAACCACATAAAAACGCCAATATTGGGCTGTGTTAGCGGGTCCAGCTCCCCGTTCCATGTTGCCCCCTCCATTGTTGTTGTTGCTTAAGATCCTGGTCACGTTTTTGTTCTACACCAGGGAGTGTGCTGGTATGTCTAGGTGCGGGTTTACACCGTGTCAGTTACCTGTGTCATCTCTCGCATCCGCTCTTCTTGAGCCGGGCGGGAAAGGAGGAGACGATGCTGCAGATGCATCGCAAGTCTGCAATCACCACAAACTAACTCTTGCGCAAGTCACCGTCCCTGCCTTCGACCTACTGTGGTGTACACAGTGGGCATCTTCTGTCACCAGCGCTTTCAATTTGTCGAACAATGCATAACGCCTCACACACACTCAGACATCCACAGATTTAAGTGATTTCCTATGTATAAATAACTGCAGTTGTCTACCCAACAAATGCATGTGGGAAATCATATGAGTACTGATTCCATGGGGTGGGGGCGGGGGTTGGCCAACATGCAGATGCTACTTCAATGTACTGT